CTGCTGCCAGTCTGCGCCGGGCGTCGGCGGTGGCGGATCCCGCAACATGGCGGCGGCTGTACGCAGCTTCGGTCTGGAGCGGGAGGCCGAGCCGGCCAAGGAGGCGCGCGTCGTGGGTTCCGAGCTCGTGGACACGTACACGGTGCGCTGGGGGCAGCGAGCACCGGAGCGGGGGTGGTGGTCACCGGGCCTGAGTCTGCGCTGGGAGCTCTGAGTCGCGCATCCGTGAGGGTCTGCGAGTGCGGAGAGGGGACCCGGGAATGGGGGAGTCTGAGGAAGGGCCTGGGTCCTGAGGGTGCTGGAGGAGGCCCCAGGGCGGGGCCCGAGGAGGGGGTTGGGAAAGGGGGTGCGCGACGCCAATAGGGGGGTGGAATCTGGGCAGGAGCATGTGTCAGTGAAGCCAGTCCCAAAGACCCTTGAGGCATTGGAGGGATGCGGACCCGAGAGAGGGCGTTCAGAAGGAAGGGAACTGGAGGAGGGGGATCTCTGATGGATGGATCCGGGTTTGAGAGGGCGCGGGCTCCTCAGGTTGTGAAGGAGAGGAGGTGGATCCTGAGCTACCCCTCCCCCACACCAGTGGAGGTCCAGATCAGCCCTGCGAAGTGAGGGACCCTGGGGGATTGGTGCCCCCCAGCCCCCCTGGCGAAAAACAGAGTTAGCTCAGGGCCAAAATCCAGGACCTGCCAACCTTAGAGGGCTTGGGGAAGATGGCCAGCCAGCTGCCAACACACACTTGTAGGCTACCAGGGAGACAGGACAAAAAAAGGAAGGTAGTTATGGCGATGGTGTTGGAAGCCCTCCCGGGTCTGGGTGGGGTTCGATGCTAGGACTATGAGCCAGGTAGGGTGCCAGGTGAAAATTTGTTCTGGGGTTGGGGCTCAGTGAGCATCTCCCTGTCTCCTTTGTTCCCAGGAGGGTGGGCAATGGACAGGGGCCTTGCTCCGCCTGTGCCACACTCCCTTGGCCCCCATCCTAATACCACTCTCTTGTGGGCCCTCCATTGGCTCTCTTCCTATAAGCAAGGTTGGATGTCGGGTTGGGGCTCATTCCAGAGCAACAGGCTGGTCCTGGAAAATGGCTAGTGCCTCTGGGCCAGAGGATTCAGCCTAATTGACTGAAAAGCTTGCTTCCCCCCACCTCTCTGCTACAGAGAGAGGTGGAGAAACTAGGACCATGGGGCTTGGTTTAGTTGAGGGATGAGGTCACTCAGCTATGAATGATGGTCATCCCCCATTAGCTATAATCAGCTAGAGAGTTGTTTCCAAAAAGCTCTCCTTCCAGATGTGAGGGAGCAAGGTAGTAATCCAAGCTGACAATTGCCATTTGTCCCTGGGTATGCTGGATGTTACTAACACACCTATCTTTTATTAGGTGTTAGGCCTGCACAAATCATTTTACACTTACTGCCTTACCTTAACCCACCTTGTGTTAAAATGGAGGAACTGAGGCCCAGAGAGCTTAGGTGTCCAGCAACTTATATAAGTGACACATAAGCTACACCCAGGAAATGGGAGAACAAGATTTTGAATCCAGGATTTTCTTAACTTCCAAACTATGTTACCTCTGTTCGGGCAGATTACCCACCACTGCTGCCCCCAGGAGCATGTTGGTCCCTTGACCCCTGATTCAGCCACACATATGCCGTGGCATGTGTGCATCTTACCACCAGAAATCACAACCACAGCCTGTGGGAAGGGTTGAAAAAGGGCCTGCTTCCTAGATAGTCAGGGCATCTGGTAAGATGTACATGCTGCCAGACCTGGCTCTGCTCTGCCTCCCTTAGGAGGGGCGGTCTTGCCTACGACTCAGGTTGGTTTTGAATTACGTGGAGACAAGAGGTAAAAACCTAAGGAAGAGGTGTGTTGTCCTAGTCACCATTTCCATTCCTTTCTGATGATTGAAGCCACAGCTTTGATCCAGATCCCCTAGGGCTATGGAGGAGGCTGAGGAAGGGTGCTGCTGCTCAGCAGGGGCCAGGTGCATGTTAGGTGTGGGAGGATGCCTGACTGGCTGTTGGGGAGTGGGATCTCAATGCTGGGCAGCTCTTGTGGAGAGGCAGGGTTTCCTTGCCATAAGGAATCATCTTTCCTTTTAGGTTTATATCATACAGGTCACTGATGGCAACCATGAGTGGACAGTCAAGCACCGCTATAGTGACTTCCATGACCTGCATGAAAAGGTAACCTGAAGGGCTGGGAACCTGTGACTTAGGGTTTGGGGGATTTGGGCCAAGTTCCCATTGTGTCACAAATTAATTTAGGGTAAAACCTCCACGTCTATAGTTTACTCATTTTTTTTTTAAGGACTTACTGATTTATTTTGTGGGGTGGAGGTAAGATGCATATGTACGTGGCACGTATATGGTAGTCAGAGGACCATTTATGGGGGCTGGTTCTCTTTCTACCGTATGGGTCCTGGGGATGGAACTCAGGTCAGCCGGCCAGATGGCAAGTGCCTTTATCTGCTGAGCCATCCATTTCACTGACCCTATAGTTTACTTCTTTAGTAAACCAGTTTATTAATGTAACTGGCAAAAGAACTGGTTGATCCTAGGAGTTTGGCCCCAGGATGAGACAGACTACAGGTAGTATATTTAAATTTAAATTTTAAAATTGCCATATGGGGCTTAGCAGTTAAGAGTGCATACTGCTCTTGCAGAGTACCTGAGTTCTGTCCCCAGCACCCATGTCCTGAAGTGCATAGCTGCCTATAATTCTAACTCTTGGGGATCCAATGCCTCTGACCTATGTGAGCATCTGCATTCATGTGCACATATCCCCACACAGACAGACATGCATACACATAATTAAAAATAATAAAAATATGATTTGAGTGTAAGTTTCCTGAGGAGGGAAAAAGATTTGACCTTTTGAACTTATTCCATGTAATAGAGCCTGTTCTTTAATATCATGTGGGAAATGTAAATGTATTTCTTTTACTTCTTTTCCATCACAGGGTTAAATGAGACAAAGAAAGTTCAAAATCTTTTGGATTGTGTGGTTGTTTTCTTGGGACCCCAGATACATTTCTGATTCTACTTTTCCTTTGTTTTTGGAGGGACTTGGCTTCCTGTGAGACATGTCTTAAAGACACACCATTGCTTCCATTAGTTTTCATTCTGGTTTGGAATGTGTTACTGTTTTCATCTGTGTTACTTTTTGAATGTCTCCAAAGACTAAAGATGGAATTCTTCACCTGTATTAGTATTTCCAGTGCTGCTTGAATTTAAAAGAGGCCATGGGGCTGGAGAGATGGCTCAGTGGTTAAGAACACTGGTTGTTCTTGCAGAAGACCCAGGTTCGAATCCCAGCACCCACATGGCAGCTTACACTGTCCGTAACTCCAGTCCCAGGGGATCTGATAGCCTCTTCTGTCCTCCTTGGGCATTGCACGACACAGGTGCACTTTCCTGCATGCAGGCAATACACTCATACACATTTTAAAAAAAAGAGGCCAAACCCAGATGCACAAGTTGGAGTGCTAATCCTGCTATGCTGCCATGGATTGCAGAAGTCATGACTGCTGGCCTTGACCTAACATAGACACAGAGCTTCCTGGTCTGTGGTTGATGTGCTTATGTTTTCTTACAGCTTGTTGCAGAGAGGAAAATTGACAAAAATCTACTTCCACCCAAAAAGATAATTGGGAAAAACTCCAGAAGCTTGGTAGAGAAGAGGGAGAAGGACCTGGAGGTGTACCTGCAGACCCTCCTGACCACCTTCCCTGAGACGGCCCCCAGGGTGCTGGCCCACTTCTTGCATCTTCACTTCTATGTAAGTTCACCTTGGGGTTCTCACCTTTGTCTACAAACCCACAGCCACCAGAATTCAAGACAGCAATCCAGTGTGAATCTCAACTTTGAGGAGAAGCAGGCTGGACTTTGACCCTGAGGTTAGAAAATGAAGGATTAGGGGTAGGATTTGAGCAGAAGCAAGTTGGTTGGCAGGTTTGCCTTAAATCAGATTGGCCACATTTTCCTCCACTACAAGGCATTTTATTTGGTAAAACTGACACGTGATTTTTTTTTTAAAGGTAGATTTCCCTCCAAATGGATGAGGATGGATTAGAGACAGGTGACCCCTGGTATAGACTATTTTTTAGATGTTGGCTCACAACTCAAGGCTAATTAAGGAATTAGTCATTCTTAATCAAGGATTGCCATCCTGGGACTCATTGTTGAGGTCCCCCACTGACAGAGTGTTGAAGCTGCCAGTGACACTCTTCTCAGATGGGGGAATACCTCACAGAGCAGCTCTGCTGTCGCTTTTGGATAGAGAGTAATGTGCTTCCAGTGACAGAATTGTCAGACCTGAAGCTAGGCATGGTGGCTTATGCATTCTGCTGAGGCAGGGGGATCATGAGTTCATGGCCAGCCATAGCTACATAGTGAGACCATGTCTTCAAAAATAAAAAGTAATCCCAGTACTTGAGAGGCAGAGGAGGTCAGCCGGGTCTACATAGTGAAGATCCAGGCCAGCTGGGGCTACAGGCAGACCCTGTCTCAAAAAACCAAAATAAAAAATAAATAAAGTTATCAGACCTCACTAAGAGTGATTTGGCAGTATAAAGCCAAAATATTAAAGGCTATCAGCAGTCCACTGCTAAAAATTTATTCTAAGATGAGACAACTGCAAAAAAGGATTTATGAACAAAGCTAGTCATTCCAAGATTTGTAGCAAGGTAATGAAGACAAGCCAGAAACCACTGGTAAGAGGTTAAAACAAAAATCAAAGCAAGCCATGGCACACACCTGTCTTTCCAGCACTTAGGAGGGTAAAGCCAGAGAATCCACTCAAGTTCAGGGCCAGCCTGGGCTACATATCAAGACCTTTGTCTCAAAAAAAAAAAAAAAAAAAATCCAGACAGTGCTGGGTGTAGTAGTGCATGCATTTAATCCCAGCACCCAAGAGGCAGAAGCAGGTGGATCTCTGAGTTTGAGGCCAGCTTGGTCTACATAGTTGCAGGGCAGCCAGTGCTATCTAGTGAGACCTTGTCTCAAAAAAAATAAAAAAGAATCCAAACAAAACAACAAAAAAAGGTACAGCTATACACCTTGGCATTATGCTGCCACAGACCTACTGACAGGTAAATTTGTGAAAAGAAGAGGTCCTAAAACAGAATGTAGACTCAAAAGTCATATGGTTATCTAGGAAGATTCTATAAGGTTATATATCAAACTAGTAGGAGCAATTTTCTGTGAGATAGATTTTCTGATACTACATACTTACTGTGTAATTCTTTTTCTCTTTAAACAATGAAAATGGTCTTGCCTTATAGGAAGTGATGTAGGAGTTATGGTTACAAAGACCCACCTTGTTTAAAATACCTCTAAATCACTGCAGAGTAAGGCACCTGAGCTTTTCTTGGAGCACTGATTAGAGTCTGGAGATTTGGAATGGGGTTTTGGGACTACCTTCCTGCCACAAAGCTAGAAGGGGCTGTATGTGCAGTTGGAATGTGTCTATATACCAGGTCTTTGTTGGTTGGTTTTTTTATTTTTTAGGGCCTGGCTTCTGGGCTGGGCCTGCTGGACCCCTGAAGGCCGCCTCCCAGTTGTCTTTTTTTTCTTCTTCTTTTTCTTATATTTTGTTTTGTTTTTTGAGACAGGGCCCAACTATGTAACCCTGGCTGGTCGGGAACTCTGTATGGACCAAGCTGGCCTTGAAATTACAGAGATCTACCTGCCTCTGCTTCCCAAGTATTGGGATTAAAGGTGTGTGCCACCATGTCCTACTTGTAAACTTTTTCTTTTTTTTTTTCACACTTTGTTGTGTAAGAAAAAATTCATATTCCCTATATTTGTCAGATAAACTTCACTGGTTAGTATTTTAAGAAATTCTGCACTTTGGAAAAAGCTTCAAGCTGCGTGGGTGCTTGCCTTTAATATCAACACTTGGAGGCAGAAACAGTCTGCTCTCCATGAGATTGAAGCCAGCCTGTACTACATAGCAAGTTATAGGCCATGGTACATGCCTTTAACCTCAGCACTTGGGAGGCAGAGGCAGTCAGATCTTTGCGAGTTTGAGGCCAGCCTGGTCTACATAGTGAGTTCCAGGACAGCTGGGGCTACAAGGAGACCCTGTCTCAAAAAGACAAAAAAAAAAAAAAAAAAAAAAAAAAAAAGTAATTAACCTATCATTAGACTGAGCCAAGGTGTCTCAGCCACAGCACTGTTGACATTCTGAACTGAATAAGTACCGTGAGGAGCTAGCTGGCCTATGTAATTTTTAGCACCATTTCTGGCCTCTACCCACTTGATGCCAATAGCACTTTGTTGCCTGGTTGAGCACCACTGGGTTAACTCTTCATTCAAGCTTGAACAAACAATCCAATAGCACTGTCAGCCTTTTCTGCAGGTAGGGAACTATCTAAGGCATGGTTCTCTTAACCTTTGTACCACCAGTGTCTTCCTTGGAGTTGTTCCAAATATATTCTACCTCTTGTGTACTGATGTTGGATGAGGTGGATCAGAGAACCCTATTTGGCTATGGTGTAGACTGCTTTTTCTTTTTACATTGTATGTATATGAGTGTTTTGCCTGCATGTACAGTAAGTACAACATGTGTGTGCAGTGCTCCTGGAGGCCAGAAGAGGGCATATTCCCTGAACCAGAGCTACACGTGTTTGTGAACTGCCATTTGGGTACTGGGAACAGAGCCTGGGTCTTCTGCAAGAACAGCAAGTGCTTTTAACCAGTGAGCCATCTCTCCAGCCCCAGTGTGAACTACTTTTGTTTTGTTGAGACAGGATCTTACAATATAGCCCTAGCTGGCCTGTAAACTTGCTGTGTAGCCCAAGCTGGCCTTGAACTTCCCGTGATCATCCTGCCTCTGCCTCCTGAGTGCTAGGATTATAGGTGTGTATCTCCATACTTGGCTTTTGGGTTTTGTTTTTGTTTTCTTTTAGTTTGGGGAAATTTCTTTTAAACTGGGTTATAATTCATATACCATAAGTCACTCTTTTAAAGTATACAATTTAATTTAATAGTTTATAGTAGATTCAAACAGTTGTGTAACACACCACTGTCTAATTCCAGAACATTTCATCACCCCAACATAACCCTGTACCTGTTAGCAATAATTTTCTATCCCTTCCTGGGGACCTTGGTAGTCACTGCTTGCTTCCTATCCCCCAACCCTTGGTAGTCACTACCTTGCTTCCTCCCCCAGCCCTTGGGAGTCACTACTTGCTTCCTGCCTCTGTGAGTTAGCCTATTCTAGATGTCTCATATAAACAGTTCATACAGCATGTGGCAACTAAATTTCCAAGGTCCATATTTATAGCATTTATCTTCCAGTCCTTTCATAATTGATGTATTTGGATGTACTGTTCAGGAATCCTCTTTGATCTGTGATTTCTTGTTCTATGGGTTTAGTTAACCTGCAGACAACCATGGTTTGAAAATACTACATGGAAAACTCCAGGAGTAAACAATTCATGAGTTTTCAATTGTATGTCATTCTGAGTAGTGATGAAATCTTTCACTGTCCCTCCTGGGACATGAATCAGCTCTTTTTAGTGTATCCACTCTATACATGCATCGCTTAGTAGACCTCTAATCACTTAGTAGCCATACCACTTGTCAGATCAGCTGTTACAGCATCACAGTACTGTGTTCAGGTGACTCTGATTTTACTTGGTAATAGCCCAAAGCACCTGAGTTGGGATACTAGCAGTCAGATATGCCAAAGTATAGTCGTGAAACACTCCCTTTGATTAAAAAGGTAAAAGTAGAAAATATTTTGAGAGACCACATTCCATTATTTCTATTACAGCATATTATTTTAATTGTTTTATTTTAGATGATTAGTTAATGCTTTACTGTGCCTTATTTTAAACTAAACTTTATCATGAGTATATGTACATAAAAAACATTATATATGTGGGTTTGTATTGTTTGTAGTTTTGGGCATCTGATGTGTTTTTGTTTGTTTGAGACAGCACCTTGCTGTAGCCCTAGCTGGCCTAGAACTTGCTATGTAGACAAGGCTTGAACTCACAGAGATCCACCTGCCTTTGCCTTCTGAGTGCTGGGATTAAAAAAGTGAAGACTGATGTGGGTTTTATAGTATGCCCTCCATGGATAAGAGGACTGCTATGTCACACTGTGTTTATCCATTTATCAACTGTCCTTATCTGTGATGAATAAATTCCAGAACCTCCAGTAGATGCCTAAAACCAAGGATAGCACTAAGCCCTACCTATGTTTTTTTCCTACATATACCTAACAGATTTGTTGGTTTTTCCATCCGAACTAAGCACTTATCATGCAGTATGACCATAACTTTTACAATTTGAACTGTCACAGGAAAACTGGCAGGAATTTTTTTCCTTCACAATTTTGTGGATAGGAGCTTCATCCTTACTATAGATTTTAGCAACCTTAGCAGATAGTTTATTTTCTTATCAAATTGAGAATTTTTCATCATTTTGACGTATGGCACCACTTTAAGACTTGTCTTTGGCAGGCTGACATCACTACCCCCGCACTTTGAGACTGTTCTAAAGTAAAGTAAGAGTTACTTAAACACAGGTATCTCAATATTGTAATAAATAAGGTGGCTACTAAGTGACTCACAGACTATGTGATGTGTCTATTATGTAGATATGCTGAACAAAGGGCTGACTTCTGTTCCAAGAGGGACAGAATAAAAGAGTAACATTTCATGATACTCAGAATGGTGTGCCGTTTTAAAACTTCTGTATTATTCATTTTTGGTATTTTCCATTTAATAAATTTTGACTGTAGTTGACTATGAATGACCATTGACAA